GGCAGAGAAGCAGTAAGGCAACGGTACAGAGAGGCAACAGGGCAGGGAGGCAACGTTGCAGCAAGTCAGAGAGGCAATGGGCAGAGGGACAACGGGCAACAGGGCAGAGAGGAAACAGTGCAGTAAGGCAACAATGAAACAGGGCAGAGAGGCAACAAGGCAGTGGGACAGAAAGGCAACAACGAAACGGGCAGAGAGACAATAGGGCAACAGGGCAGAGAGGCAACGGTGCAGCGTGGCAACTGGCAGAGAGGCAGCAATGCAAATGGCAGAGAGGCAGTGAGGAAGCAGGCAGAGAAGCAGTAAGGCAACGGTACAGAGAGGCAACGGTACAGAGAGGCAACGTTGCAGCGAGGCAACGGGCAGAGAAGCAACGGGGCAGCAAGGCAACGGTGCAGGGAGGCAGAAGCAATGGGCAGAGGGGCACTGAGGCAACGGGACAGAAGCAACAGGGCAGCAAGGCAACGGGCAGAGATGCAACGAGGAAACAGGCAGAGAAGCAGTAAGGCAACGGTACAGAGAGGCAACAATGCAGAGAGGCAACAAGGCAACGGGGACATTTAACAGTTCTATTAGTTTGTCTGGGTCAGGGAACCGGCGGCCAGCAGAAGCTGACCACAGCTCTGTGAGCGGGACTGTTTTGGTCCATGGAAGGAAATGCCTTGACCAGGAGAAGTTGCCGATAGGAGAACCTGCTCCTCTGTTTCTGCTGGTAAATGAGCTTTGAGGAAGAATAAGGCTTTTTATATAAACAACTTGTTTACGTATAAACAAAGGTAGTTTATCAAGAACACAACTTAAGCTTGGCGCTGAGGGGTTCTGGTCCCAGACCTACTGGCAGCTTTGGACCCCCCAACAGTAAAACAACATGAAGGGGTGAGCTGAAGTGGTCCAGAGTCTCTGCAGAGCACAGACCACTACTCTGGAGTAGAACCTCAGCCTGGAACCCCAGAGCAGGGAGACGGAACCGGATCCTTCAGAGCTGCAGACCCGCTCAGACTGAGGCCCAGCATTCCCGCTGAAAACACACTTTAGTCCCGCTTATTTCACAATGTCGAAAAACCGAGAGAGAGACAGCTGAATTTGCCATAAACGAGGAAAGTCAGCCAGCAAAAGAACAAAGTAGTCGTTGACAACATTCCTATGTTTTATGATTGTCTGAAAATGAAAATGTGTAAGAAATAACAGCTTTTGCCCTATTATCAATCCAATAATTTAGCATCTGTTAGGCTCACGTTGGTGAGACGTGCGCCCGTAGCCTGGGCTATGCTGTGAACACGTACAGCACATTCTTCACATGAAAGATCACACCGTTGTAGAAATGGCACTCATAACTACATTTATTTAAATTCTGTGGATTTGTAAATGCCTTTAATTTGGCTGTTTTAATCTTTAAATGTGTAACTTAGCGCAGCAGTGAAGTGTTCAGCTGTTAGATGGTTGAAGCATATAACACCTGGACCCAGATGGAGCACATTACACATGTATTAAGGCTACAAAACCCATCTTTGCTGAACGATGGGATCCTGTCATGTCTTTTTTAATACAGTATGACTGGCTAGTTTTCCTCCTCTACTTTTTTGCTCTTTTTTGTTACATAATCTGCAGAGTACTCTAAATCCTCCCAGTCCCCTGTATGCCTTTTTCAATATGTGTTTGTGTATATATGAATGTTTGAATATATACTTTTGACTTGTTTAATGTAATGTAATTGTGAGTGGTTATTTGTTCTCGCTTTGTTTTTGATTGACTTGTTAGCTTGTAATCCTGATTAGGGCCGGACTAAGCCTACGGCTGGACTAAGAATGATCATTATTCTGAAATGTTGTCACTGAAAACCTACTTAAAAATAAGTTTAAAAAAAAAAAAGAATAATTTCTTTGTAAAAAATTAGTGTCATTTGTTGTTGTTTGATTTACAAATTAAGATGTATTAATTTGGATTGAAAACTGAAAAAAACTGATTTGGAGAAAATTTGTGATTTATATGCACCTATCACATAATCATGATCACATGACATCACCTATTATATGATCACATGACATCACACCAGTGGGTATAAAAAGGACTCAGATCTGAACCTTTTTACTGATACAGACTTTTTGAAGTCCCACCATATCAACACAGAGCCCTTAAGCCTTTTAGCACCCCAAATGGAATCTATAGCAGAGCCAAATAGCAAAAGAGTCAAATCAAAGTACCATCTACAGAACTCCACTGGAGCAACAGGAAGCTGTCAGATTGTCATTACATCCGGGTGGGATTTCACAGCAGCGATTGTGAGAGAAAATGGCCAACAGATCTGTCGAGGCTCAGACAGAACAACAGGACATAGTCCACGGGAGCTCCCATGGGTCCTCCAAAAGAAAAAGACGTGTTGAAAAAGAACGATCACAAGATGATGACAAATGTTCCCCAAGGTACCAGTGGTTGGACGCAAAGCATTCCCCCAAAAGGAGAAAAACTTGGTGAAGACCAGTCAGTGTTCTGGACCTACAGCCTCAAAAGATGTCTGGTTCTGTTGTCTCCCAGGTTGGACACTGACTGTTTCTCCACTAGACCCTTGTAAAGACCAACCGGTGCGCTGAGCCTCCAGCTTTGTCCAATGTTTCCCAGGCGCCTGCATTTGAACACAGTGACGTGAACTTTTCCCATTCAGGGACCGGAAAAGAAAACATGAACAAAAGATTCACAACAAAGAGTTTTCAGCCCAAGAAAAATGTTTTGTGAAGACCAACCGATGGAGTGGGCTTCCAGCTTCAGGAGCCATCTGGCTCAGGTTCATCCACCAGTGGGATCACAGGTACCTGAACCAGATCCAAAGAAAAAAGCATTGCAGCTAACCCGGACTATCATAGTCCGGATCCAATTGGTTCTACCACAAGGTAGGTGGCCTCTGAATACAGAGAATTTCAGTCAAAAGTTGTTCGCCTAAAGTCTAAGCATGTTGGGAGGTTCAGCTATGTTTAGGTACCTGGCAGGGATGAGAAGGGGTTTGGTGAACGTTTGTTCAAGATGAATCACCACAAAGGGAGAAAAGAGTTTGTGTGTGTTATGTTGTGTGTTTGGCTCAGTGCTTTTGGCTCAACACATGAGGCAACCCTTGCATTGTCAGTGTGAATAGGAGCCAGTTGCAGTGCAGGGGATTTGCATGAGAATGGTGTGTGGGTGCTGAAAAGCCAGTACTTCATTTCTGTCATTCTGCAACGCGTGCTCTCTCATCTCAACCCTCCAGAGGCAGCTGGGGCTAGGATCCGCTCTGTCAACATCAGCATACCTGGACCACCCTCTCACTTCATTTGCTCTGGATTTATTCTTCTTCCTTAAATCTGATCAAGAGATGGAGAACAATCACACCTTCCTGTACTTTGCATATGGTAGTAACCTGCTGAAGGAGCGGCTCCAGCTCAAGAACCCCTCTGCAACAGTGCACTGCGTGGCCAGGCTCAAGGTCAGGTCTGACACAAGGGCTGTCATTGCTCTGTTTCAGGTACAGGACACATGCTCAAGTTCTCAGCTTCTCCGCTCTGTTTCAGGACTATAAATTGGTTTTTGGGAACCACAAAGGCCTTGCCAGTGACCGGTGGCATGGAGGTGTGGCCACCATAGAGCGCAGCCCTGGAGACGAGGTCTGGGGCGTTGTATGGAGGATGAACGTAACCGATCTCGAGTCACTAGATAGGTAAAAAGTTGATTGAAGTTTTGAATTGCCCTTTAATACTTTCATCTGTCCCCTGAAACTTCCTAACATGTGTTTTTGTACATGTGAACCCATTCAGTCAAGAGAATGTGACATTAGGTACTTACAGTCCTGTGGAGTTATCGGTGAAGACCAAGGGCCAGGAGCTCAACTGTCGCACCTACATAATGAACAGCTGTGTGTACGCCCCTCCCTCACCACAGTACCTACAGGTAAGAGCCCATTCATCACTGCTAGCTCATTATGGAGGAGGACTGATCTCTGTCATAACATGCTATCATTCCCATGTTCCTTTCTGCCGTTAAAGGACCAAAACGCTGAACCCTGCATTGGTAGAAGAGGGTACTTCACCAATCTGCCAAACTTTTTTCCATCTAAACCTTTTGACTGTTGTAATGTTTCCAAAGGTTTTGTAACGATGGTCTCTCAAACGAGTCCTTGCTAAAAAACATCAGGTTCATCTGGTTACTAAAACAACACAGAATGTTAAAAATGGGATATATTACTTGCTTCGTTATACCCATTGTGAGGCCATTATCTGTTCAAAACAATGTGTGCAACAAGTCCACTTAAGCCCACTCAAACAGTTGAACAGTGATTGCCTAAAATATTGAACTATCCTCTCGAATTATTTGTATTATCAAGATGGTATGTATGAGTTTTAAAAGTTGGTTAGAAACACTCAGCTGGCTATTTTGAAATATTTAACAACAATTTGTGTATATGACAATCATCAGCAGAGAAATGGTGTGCTTGTGATGGTATCTATAGTATCTGGGCTTTACTGTCACCCATCAGACAGTTTGGACAGAGGGAATAGCTGAGTTCAGTGGTACAGTTAACTTACACACAACTGATGTCACATCCACTCAGGCAAAACATTCTAACTAATATCCATACCCATCCATCCCTGGGCTCCACATTTTAGAAGGCAGACAAAAGAAAATGGGAACACTGGGGTTTGACGAATCCTACTTCTCCGTAGGCTTGGTGGGATCCTGCTTATGAATAGACTTCTAAAGCCAGCGCCCCTAATGTTTGGGTTTCTATAGTGAAGATAATCAATAGTAATTCATTCATCATGTAGCAGACCTACTGTCTGCCCATATCACAATAAAAAACGGCCTCTGTAGAGGCTGAACTTATCAGCCTGGCCAGACAAACTCGGACTGTCAGCAGCTGTAGTCTTCTACATATTGAAGAAACATGTCTTTAAATCTCTTAGTAAAGCAGTGTAGACACTTATTGGAGGCAACACAGTGGTAATTATCAACCTATCTCAGGTTTCATAGCAGGCAAACATTTCGTGGAGCATACAGGAGAATCAAGTACATTTTTTAGTTTTCAATAATCAATTAGATTCTCAAGAGTGTGCGGAGGTGAAGAGAAGATCTTGAGGTTGGTTAATACTGTTGCTTCACAATTTGGAACAAATTTCTTAGATGGAAAAGATATTGATTGTCATTTTCCACACAAATTATACAATGTTCCAATTTCAATGAAGGCTAAAAAGTAAGCATTTTAGTCTGTTTAAAACACATTACTCATGTGTCTTTTTCGGACACATAAAACTTTAGGACAAATATCGCTGATGGAGGTCTTGAACACTTTGTATTTCAGGGGAAATCTTTTGATTCCGAAACACAAAGTATTGTGATATTGTGTGCCACTTTTTTCACACCCATAGCTTTGTCTCTAAAGCATCTGGAAAAGGGACCCGTCTGCTCACTGCTCTCATCCGACTAAATGATTAACAGCCCACAGCAGTGCGGACACAGCCTGCTCTGCTGGGGCTTACAGAGCTAACGGCTCGTGAGCCAGAATGCCAGATTGTTCCCAGAGCACCACTTTGTGGTCACACCTTTGTCTTCTATAGTGAGCCACGCACGTATTGTGCTGGCCATTGGTGTATGGATGTTGTCTTTCTAAACTGCTAGCTTTTTCTGCAATTAATTTAGATCTTTAGATGAAACGTAGTTCACAGAGCAAAGAGAAGCAGTGTTGATTAGGTTCATGTTGGACAGCTAATCCTGACATGTGGTGACAGACCCATCACCACAGCTGCTGCTAGCCCCCCCGCACCAGCGTGCTGACGCTCTTAGCATGACCTGATGATGTTTCTACTCAGAAGTGAGTACGAAACCTCCACAGTCAGCTGTTAAAACTATCTTTTTCAGGGGCCTTTGATGGCTGAAAAGAGTTTGATGTACGGCTTTCAATGTTGGTGTGAGATGTCTGGGACTAGTTAAGAGATGGTTTAAATCATGTATTCTGATCAATGGCTGTAGGTAATTGTGATGGGAGCAGAGCAGAATGGCTTGCCAAAGGACTACCAGGAGAAACTGCGAGCAGTGAAGACCAACATGTATGAGGGACCCTTACCCATGATGGATGAGCTAGAGCGAGCCCGAGGGAGGCTCAGGGACACAGCTGAGTCCCATGCTCTTCCCTGATATCAAACTAGGTCTCAGTCCATTTCAGATGCTGGAAGTCCAAACCTGTAACAACTCTGTGAATGAACAACTTTTACCTTCATTTGTTACTTTGTGGCATGGCTTAACTTGAATGCAGTTTCCAGCCACTGACAGGATGTAGCTTTGCTGCTTTGACCTGAGTTGCTTGTTTCATTCGTGAGCATTGCAGTTTATCAGAGGTGTGAGAGGCAGCTGCAGCTGGGCGTAATAGGCCACAACAAACTGTTTAAAACAACTCCACGCTCATACCCTTCCCTTGATTATAGTTTTATTGGGTGCATAAGTTTGTTGTTGGAGTCGATCCAGAAGGGCACGAAGAAATGATGTTTTAGTTCACTCCTTTATCTCACAAAATGTAATAATGCTTCTATTTTTAAACTGACAAGATTAAAATGAATATCAGCCCTGACACAAGAGAAAAAAAGGGAGGATTACTGAGGGCAAAAAACAAAAATTGGAAAAACTAATGATAAAAAAGCTTTCTCAGTCCTCAGAATAATGCTAAAGGGCACTTTGGTGCATTGAACAAAGGCTCTCATAATTAGAGCTGCGTGTCTAAAGAAGTGTATATACTCTTAATAGGTCATCAAAAGTCTGTATAAAGATGGGCCACATTCCATTTTGCTGTCACACAAATATGTTGTTGATTGCTACTTGGGTGGGTGCTTGTGCTTTTGATGAAACTGCAGGAAATAAAAGTGAAAAAAAAGTGAAAAGTGTTCTCCAACTGTACAGACAGCTGACTGATGTGTTGGCATGCCTGCTGGCCACAGAAATTCTTGCTTAACTCTGTTTGAGGTGAACTATGTTTCAGGCTGTTATTGTCACCACTGAAGTCTCCACTTTGTACAAAAAGCTCTGAGCAAAAATATACCTAGAGACAGCCATGAAAAGACATCCTGTTGTTTACATGGTATACAATAACTGATCACACATCGGGTCATGATCCAATGGTTTGGATTTTCTGATTTTCTGATGTTCTGCCTTTTCTTTTCACTCATGTGCAGTTACTTATGATTCTATTTTGGGAGATAATTTTCTTTTTTGTTAGTTTGTAGTTTCCTTTCACAGCAGGGGTCCGTCATTGACCCAATCAGTTCACATGATTTTTTCCTGGTGTTCTGTTTTTTCCAGTCAGATCATTTCATGTTGCAAGCACATTTTCTCATGTGTTCTGCTGTTTTATTTTTGTTGTCTTTTCAGTTCAGTTAATCTATTTTGAATCTTTCTTTTAATCTCACTCTTCTTGCTCCACTGACACTTTCTGTTTTAATAATTAAAGTCTTTGAGATCAACCACCCGTCTTGCCTCCTCCTAGTCCTGTCTTGGAGCCCAGACTAACACGGCAAACTGACCGCCACTGCTCACTATTCAGCGGGCCAACCACACACATTCCCTTCTATGGGAAATGATGAATGCACTGAGTTAGCGCTGAAAAAATGTTAGAATGGGATCCTGGCAGCTTCCCAAAGGTCAGTGTTGACACAGAGGGGGGCACCCTGTAGTGATGCGACATTCTGTGAGACTTCCAGCTAAATAGATAAAAATGGCACACATCAGAAGCAACGAGCAGCTTCAATGTGAAATTTAAGAGGTTACATACTGTCATGTCAAACATGTCCAAAAAGTAGGAAAAAGAGGAGTGAACTTGTGTTGGGGGCCGGAACTTCCTGTGTGGGCCTTCCTGTGGCACAGCCAATTAGGTTCAGCTCATGCTCCAATCACCAGATACACAACTGGTAAGGAGGAAGTTAGGTTAGTTATTCATATATTCTTTATTATAAGGTAGAAGTTGAGTTGGAAGATATTGTAGTATGGTTTGTGGCCTGGTAATATTCAGTTTATATTGTGCTTGTGGTTGAGCCGCAGAGAAAATGTTTGATTAAAACATATTTGTTTTGAACTAATTCAACTTCTGTTTGTCAATTTATTTTTGAAAGGTTTTCAACCTAATCCTAATTCCAATCCTACATCCTTAGAAAAATCTGCTTATCAATTTGAAGGAATAAACACAATGGAAAAGGATTTGAGTTGTGCTAGTGTCCTTTTTGGTGATGACCAATCATTTGACAAGTTTGGGAAGGAGCTGAAGCTAGAAACCACACATAACTTGACAGTTGAAAACCAGTCACAGTAGAGACGAGGATTAAAGGCTTGAACTCAAGGAGGCTGTCGACGCAGACTATTGAGTAACCAGAAACTATGCCAGTGAAAGCTCTTGGGAAGGGAGAAAAACAACTAAAGCAAGAAAGAACAACAGCTAAAAGTGCCTTCTCCAAACAAGCCAACTTCCTGAGCTGGGCTGCGGAGAACATGAGCAGGAAAGAGTTACAAGGGAATTCAAGATGCTCAGCTCTTACACGAGGGGTGTCAGTGAAACAAATGATGCTTACCCTACTGGCATACTGGCAGATGTTGAGGAAGCTGGAGAAGAGGAGGAGGAAGCCAAACTAAGCAGGCAGGTGCAGCAGACCTGGAACAGACAACGAGGGACTGGAATAAAAGACTGGAAGAAGTCAGAGAAATAGTCCAGCAGAACCTCTGGTCCAGACGTGGGGAAGATGACGTTAAGTCTGTAATTCGGGAAGCAGAGGCAGCCTGCGATGAAGCTGGTGAAGTCCAAGACTTCTCAACACTGTTTGTTAAGAATTGTAACTTTGGATCACGTCAGGATGTCAGGAAAGAATACAAAACTGCGTAATACGATCCAGACGCGGCTGAGAACTGGTCTACAGACGCGGCTGAGGCCTGGTCTACAGACCGCAGCCTTCAGGTGAGCCGCCAGGTTCCACCCAGGCGCCGGCTAGCCCTGACGCCGCTGCCTCAGACTGGAGCTAATGACGTCGCTGAAAGAAGACTTCGCCCAGATTATAAAAAAGCAGTTGCAGGAGACGCTCGGGGATTCTTTGTCGACTATCTAGCTTGATCTACAAACCGTGAAAACACAGCTTCAGTTTGTCCAGTCTGGACGTGTCCTTGTTGGATGTGCTACCTCCCCAGCACACCCTGGTGTAGAAGAGGACACTGGCTATCACAGACTGGTAAAACATACACAGCAGTTTGCTGCAGATGTTAAAGGACCGCAGTCTCCTGAGGAAGTACATCCTGCTCTGTACCTTCCCGTACAGGTTGCTGGTGTGTTTTGCCCAGTCCAGTTTGGTGTCCAACCACACCCCGAGGTACTTGTAGGAGTCCACGGCCTCCACCTCAGTTCCCTCTAGTACGACTGGTCTCGGCTTTGGTTTGGACCTCCCAAAGTCTATAACCAGCTCCTTTGTCTTAGAGGTGTTGAGCTCCAGGTGGTTTGTCTGGCACCAAAGGGCAAAGTCCCCCACCAGATGTCCATCCTCCTCCTCTCTCTCATCCCTGATGCATCCGACTATGGCTGTGTCATCAGCATACTTCTGTATGTGACACAGCTCTGAGTTGTAGTGGAAGTCAGAGGAGTACAGGGTGAAGAGAAGAGGGGCCAGCACTGTGCCCTGGGGGGCTCCTGTGCTGCTGACCACAGTGTCAGACATGCTGTCCTTCAGCCTGACATACTGCGGCCTGTTGGTGAGGTAGCTGTGGATCCAGGTGACCAGGTGCGGGTCCACTCCCATGCTGTGTAGTTTGTCCTGGAGCAGAAGGGGCTGGATAGTATTAAAGGCACTGGAGAAGTCCAAGAAAAGGATCCTCACTGTGCCACTGCCCTTGTCCAGGTGGGAGTGGGCCCGGTGCAGCAGGTAGAGGATGGCATCCTCCACACCAACATCTGGCTGGTAGGCGAATTGCAGGCGGTCTTGAGCATGTTGCACCTGAGGTCTGAGGAGGCCGAGGAAGAGCCGCTCCAACGTCTTCATCAGGTGTGAAGTGAGTGCCACGGGCCGGAAGTCATTCAGCTCGCTGGGCCTGTTCTTCTTGGGCACTGGAACGATGCAGGATGTCTTCCAGAGGGTGGGCACTTCCCTTAGCTGCAGGCTGAGGTTGAAAAAATATTGTCCCCTTAAAGAATATAAACAAACATCCAAAAATAGATTGACTCCCTGGATGACAAAGAGTTTGGAGAAGGCATGTAAAAAGAAAAAAAAGTTATATAAGGATTTCATTAAGTGCCCAACTCATGAAAAAGAAGGAAAATATAAAGTATATAAAAATAAGTTAACATCAGTGCTGAGAAAGCAAAAGCAGGATTATTATGATAGGTTGCTGCAAAAATACTGCAATGATATTAAGGGTACATGGAATACAATTAATAGTATCATTAAAAACAATAAAGATAGAGATTTCTCAATAAGTATTAAACACAACAACACAATAGTGGGAAAAAAGGAGGATATTGTTGAAGTCTTTAATAAGTACTTTGTTAATATCGGTCCTAATTTAGTAAACAAATTGCCAAAGGGTAGAGATGAAAAACATAATTATAAATTTAACAATATTAATACAATGTTCCTGGGAGAAGTGAGTGAAAGTGAGGTAATAGATGTAGTTAAAAAATTAAAAAATAAGAAATCCAAAGATTGTAATGATATTGACATGGCTGTTGTGAAAGAGGTAATTTATAGTATTAAGAGAGTGAAGGTGACTGGAGACCTTGTGCTATTGAAGATCCCATTGGGAAAGACCGTTTGTTTTGAGAAAGTGGATATGGCTGCGCACAGATCTGAAACACACTTTGCCCGATCCATGAGAGCCTCTGCAGCAAAGTACCAAGAGTTCACTGAAACTAAAGGGTTCGAAGCTGTAACCAAAAACAAAGTTGCCGGCAGAGTATTACTTGACTGGTAGAAATGGGATAGCATTGGAGCAGCCTGTGAACCAAAATGTAGCGGATTCAAGTAAGGGAATTGTCATCATGGAGGCAAGGAGATTACATTAGGAGAAGAGAGAGAGATAGAAATCATCTGAAAGTGTCTAACCTATGTCAAAGCAGACGCTCGCAGCAGCAAACCACAATGGGACACAAAATATCCATGGATTGGAGATGCAATCTCTCAACCGGAGTACAGGAGTCAACAGGTGTGGAGTAGAGGCCACTTTTACAAGAACAGAGAGGCAACTCAAGAAAGAACCGAATAGAACACAATAGACCAATATGGTACGTCAGCCACTTAGTGGCTCCAAATCCACATTCTGTCACAAAACCTGTCCATTTGGTAAGGAATAGCAGCCAGAAGTACAAAGGAATCAGCATGAAGGATCTCCTGTTGAAAGGGCCTGATGTCCTCAATCCGAGCAGTGCTTCTCAGGTTCATGCTGCATTTGGTGACATGGAGAAACTGCATAATTCTGTGTGGTTGGAAGACAAGGTAATGCATCTTCACAGATTTCTCTGGAGGGACCCTGAAGACAGTGAGATAGAAGAGTATGCAATCACCCAAGTCAACATTGGTGATCGACCAGCAGGTTGCATTGCTCAGCTGGCCTTGTGGGAGACTGCAAAACTGTCCATGTTTGCTCACTTGGAGAAAGGAATGTAGGATCTTAGAGGATGAATTTTATGTTGACAATGTAAATACTTCCCACAATGAGCGAAAAAGCTGGATGCAAACATTAAAAAAAGTTGAGGACATCCTAAAGG